AGTTCCTTCAAGAGAACAGTTATGTTTATTTGTGATCTTTTTTTCTTAATGTGGGTATTTATTCCTATTTACTTTCTTTTAGTACTAATTTACTGTATCCCATAGGTTTTGATATGTTGTGTTTCCATTTTCATTTCAGATATATTTTAATTTTCCTTCTGATTTCTTTCTTAACTCAATGATTGTTGGAGTGTGATGTTTAATTTCTACATATTTGTGATTTTTCCAGCTCTCCTCCTGCTATTGTTTCCTAGTTTCATTCTGTTTTGGTCAGAAAAGATGCCTCATATGATTTCACTCTTCTTTGATTTACTAAGACTTATTTTCTAACCTATCAAAAGATCTGTCCTTGGGATCCCTGGGTGGCGCAGCGGTTTGGCGCCTGCCTTTGGCCCAGGGCACGATTCTGGAGACCCCGGATCGAATCCCACGTCGGGCTCCCGGTGCATGGAGCCTGCTTCTCCCTCTGCCTATGTCTCTGCCTCTCTCTCTCTCTCTCTCTCTCTCTCTCTGTGACTATCATAAAATAAATAAAAAGAAAAAATTAAAAGATCTGTCCTAGAGAATGTTAAGTGTACACTTGAAAAGAATATGTATTCTGGTGCTTTTGGATGGAATATTCTGTATATGTCTTTTAGGTCCATTTGGTTTAAAGTATAGTTGAAATTCAGTGTTTTCCTTATTTGATTTTTTTTAAGATTTTATTTATTCATGACAGAGATAGAGATAGAGCGAGAGCGAGCAAGAGAGAGGGGGGGGGTAGAGGGAGAAGCAGGCTCCATGCAGGGAACCTGACATGGGACTTGATCCCAGGTCTCCAGGATCACACCCCAGGCCTAAGACAGCGCTAAATTGCTGGGCCACGAGGGCTGCCGTTATTTGATTTTTTTGTCTGGATGATATATCCATGATTAAAAGTGAAGCCCCGTACAATTCTTACATTATTTTCTAGTTCCCTCTTCAGATGTTAATATTTGCTTAATGTTTTGGTGCGCCAACATTGTGTATATATGTATTTATGATTGCTAGATCCTCTTGCTGACTTGACTTTTTAATCATTTTATGACCTTCTGTGCTCTTATTACAGTTTTTGGCTTAAAGTCTGTTTTGTCTGATACAAGTATAGCTACCTCTGCTCTCTAGGTTTCCACATGTGTGGTATATCTTTTATCATACCTTTTCTTTGAAGCCATGTATGTCCTTAAAACTTAAGTAGGTCTCTTATACACAGCATGTAGTTGGGTCTTATTTTTTTTAAGGATTTTATTCATTTATTCATGAGAGAGAGAGACAGGCAGGCAGGCAGGCAGGCAGAGGGAGAAGCAGGCTTCATGCAAGGAGCCCGATGTGGGATTTGATCCCGGGACTCCAGGATCACACCATGGGCCAAAGACAGGCGCCAAACCGCCAAACCACCCAGGGATCCTCGGGTCTTATTTTTTATCCATCCAAACACTGTGACATCTGAAAAGTTCATACACATTTGCATTAATTATTATATAGGTAAGGACTTATGTAATTGCATTCATAGTTTTCTGGCTGTTCTGTGGTTCCACTGTTGTTTTCTTCATCTCTTGCCACTTTTGTGAATGATTTTATGTAATGGTATGCTCTGGTTCCCTTCTTTTTATCTTTATCTGCTGTAGGTTTTGCTTTATGGTTACCATGAAGCTTACATAAAACACTTTATTGATATTCTGTTTTTTGCTGGTGACAACTTTGTTGGTTTTTTTTTTTTTTTGACAACTTAACTTTGATCAGAGACAAAAATACTCTACTTTTTACTCCCCTTTTTAATTTTTTTGATGTCACAGTTTTGTATTCATATACAAGCTATTATAGCTATAGTTATTTTTGACGTTCTTGTCCTTTATACTAGAGTTAAATGTTTAACACACTACTATGTTACAGTATTAAAGTTTTCTGAATTCATCTATATATTTACTTCTACCAGTGTATTATATACCTTTGTCTTCATATTACTAATTAGTGTCTCATTTCAACTTGAAGAACTTCTTTTAGCATTTCTTGGGAAGTAGTTCTTGTGGTGATGAACTCCCTCAACTCTTGTTTAATGGAGAAAAGTCTTTCTTTTTCCTTCATTTCTGAAGGACAACTTTGGTGGATAGTGTATTCTTGGTTTGTGGCTTTTTCCTCCAGTTCTTTGAGTACATCATCCTCTTCTCTCCTGGCCTGTAAGATTTCTGATGAAAAATCTGTTAGTCTCATGGGGGTTCTCTGTAATTTACAAGCTTCTTTTTCTTGATATTTTTAAGATTCTATTTGTTTTTGATTTCTGACAGTTTTTTTTTTAATATGTCTTGGAGAGGATTTTTTAGAATTGAGTTTGTTTGGTGACCTTTGAGCTTCATGAACTTGGATATCAAAAATCTCTTCAGACTTGGAAGTTTTTAGACATTATTTCTTTAAATAGGCTTTCTGCCCTTTTTCTTACTCTTCACATTCTGAGATTCTCATAAGGTGGATATTGATTCATTTGGTAATGCACCATAATTCATATAGACTTTATTTACTCTTTCTGTCCTCTGAGTAGATAATTTACAATGCCTGTCTTCTAACTCACATTCTTTCTTCTATCTAATCCATTGTGCTGTTGATGCTTTTCAATGCATTTTCATTTATTGTATTCTTCTCCAGAATTTCTTTTTTATGATTTCTCTGTGAAATTTAACATTTCGTTCATGTATGTTTCCGGATATCATCAAATTATGTTTCTGTGTTTTTTTACAGCTCTTGAATATCCTTAAAACAGCTATTTTAAGTTCTTTATTGGGAAAATTACATTTCCATGTCTTTGAGATCAGGTACTGGTAGATTATTATGATCTTTTGTAAGATCATGTTTCCATGATTTTTTTCATGTTCCTTGAAGTTTTGCATTGCTATCTTCATATTTAAAGTAGCAGTCACCTCCTCCAGTCATTAACTACTTCAGGACAGAAGTAACTTTCATCTGTACTGCTAGGGATTCTGAGGCTTTCTCAGAACTTCTATTAATTACCTGCCCCACTATTCCTGCCCTCTCTTGTGACAGAATTCTTAAGCTTGTATGCCTTCTCTTGGTCCTGCAGCACATCAGGCTGCTTGCTGACAGCCTCTTTTTGTTTTTCCAAAGGCAGCACTGAAGCTTATGTTATGGCCTCTCCCTGGCCTGCATTCAGACTGGCTCTCTGCTGCAGGGTGGGATGGTGTGGGGGTGAGGCCTGCAGAACTCTGAGGCTGCCCATGAGGTAGGGGGATCTGTAGGCAAAGTACATGGAGCAGCTCGTGAGCAAGTTCTTAGTGGGGTTTGCAATACAGTAAAATCTGTATCCCTTTAATGCCTTATAAGACTCCTATCTGCTATTCTCTCAAAGTCTTTCTCCCCTCCAGTCATGCAGCTCAGAACTGCAGAGAGAAATGAGCCACTTTGACACTGTCCCACATAGCTAGGAAACTGAGTGCTCACTCATACACTCTCACTTTCCTCCATAGATAAATTCATTGGCCAAGAACATTCCCCATGGTCCTAAGTTGTGCTGCCTTGGGGAATAGGTGATGTAAGTAGTCAAACTGTTCCTCTTACCCTCTGTGATAAGTCTAAACTCATATTTTTTGCTCCCAGCAGTGTTCTGGAACTTCTTTTCTATAGACTGGATTTCCATAAAAGTTCTCTTGTCCATGGGTGATTGTCTAAGACAGTTTTTTTCTAAGGGTCCTGGACCACAACTAAGAGGAGTAGAGTTGGTTCATGGATCACTACAGAGTCTACACCTGGGGTTGAGGTCTTATATGCCTTTTACCTAAGGCATGAGTAGGCTAGTCTCCCTCTGAGTCTCTTGATGTATGATGCTTTTGTCCGATAGTTCCCACAAAGGCACTTTTGCCCATAGATGGAAACCAAATTGTTGAGGCAGGGAAACAAATGAAGGATGTCTTATTAAGGCATATGAACTTTGGTTTCTTAAACCAGTTTATTTCAATGGCCTTAATCTTTATCAGAAAGGATTCCAAAAGAGGATCTCCTATCAAGCCCACAGCCTACTCTGAACCCTTTGTGTTAGTAGATGTTCATATTCATAGACCTAGAAGTAAATTATTAGAAACATGGATTGTGATTTCTTTTTATCTCACCCAGTCTCTCATAGAAATTCCTCAAAAGGCAGAAAATTTGGACAGCTCTCTTTGTTCTTTTTCTGTTGAAGATTTTTTCTTATGTCTATACTCTTTTGAACATTTTAGTTTAACTAGGAATATTGCATTATATTTCTACATACAAATCATATTGCTGTCATGATACTTATCACCAGCATCTTATTTCTGGAACTTATTCTAGAGCTTTCTTGATACTCTCTTCTCATGGTTCTAGTTATAATTCTAATTCAGACCACTTTAAAAACTTTGTTAATGAATCTTTTTTATCTGTTATTTCTATAGTGCTGTTTGTTATTCTCTTTCTTCAATATATGCGAACTTTGTTAGCAGTCATATCCCATTTTCATGGCTGCAGACATAGGGCTTATGAACAATACATCCTCATTTTTCTAGATTTCTCCTGATCTAATGAACAATACATCTAACTGCCACTGATTCAAATTGTGTATATCATTCTCTCCCTGCTTCTGCTTCCATCCAAATCCATTTTTCATTTACTCCTGCTTCAGTGAGTCACAGGCATCTAGTGAGTTCCCAAACCAGTTGAGTAAAGTTTTATATCCCCCCCCCCATTTTCCACACTCAGTATAAATTGGTGCCCAAGATCTCTTTAATCCATGGTAGGTATTAAAGATATGTGCTTGCTAATTCTGTGAATGAACATAAGCTGACAGAATGTTGCTAATGTTTTGGGTTTGTTTTGTTTTGTTTTTAGAAAATAACAAAACCGGGTAAATTTTTAAATAACTTCTTACCTTTGGATACTATGAGAACATGATTCAGTATGTTTTGTCCACATCATTTAAAATGGATGACTTCAGATTGAGTAGGAGTATGTTGTTACAGGGAACAGTGACATTCAAAGATGTGGCTATTGACTTCACCCAGGAAGAGTGGCAGCAGTTGGATCCTGCTCAAAGGAATCTGTACCGGAATGTGATGCTAGAAAACTATAACAACTTAATCACAGTGGGTAAGGGTAGTTTCTTGTATAACTCAAATTCTGGAAGTAAAGTACCTTTTTTCCCCAAAATTTCTGAAATGTGCAGAACCTTTTAATGTTAGAATGAGTTTGACCTGTCAGTGCCTCTGCTAACATGAATGTGCATGCTGTAGCTTTCAAAACAAAAGGTCATTTTTGCTTATGTTTCAGGGGCAGCATCCCCAGAAACCAAGTCCTTGTCCTCAGAAAGCCTGGTTTCCCTGAGCCAACATCAATTCTTGAATGATTTTTTTTTGTTCCTGATAATTTATGCCCAAATCTTATGTTACTTTCCTTTGACAGGCTGTCCATTCACCAAACCTGATGTGATTTTCAAGTTGGAGCAAGAAGAAGAACCTTGGGTGGTGGAGGAAGAAGTGTTAAGGAGACACTGTCCAGGTTAGTTAGGGAGGGAACAGACAGGTGAGGAGGGGCCAGGACTCTTTAATGGTTAATCCCTGACTCGTTGACCCCTGTGAAATGTTCTTCAAAGATATTTTCCTAAAGACTGGAGACTTTTAAGTGATAATTTGTGTGAATTCTTTATTAACCTAAGATGTCTTTTCTAGATAACATTCTTCTTTCCACAGAACTTAAAGGACTAGTTGGCCTTTTTACCTGTGTGCTAGATACCAACATTTCCTAATTCATTTCCAGCTTTACTTTGACAATCATTCTATTACTAGTATCTTCAGCCTCTCTTCCCACCTTGTTACATAGGATCCCTTCCTTTTACATTCAGATATTCACATAATTCGCATTGTTCAAATAAACTGTTGACATTTATAGTTCTTTCTACTTTCTCTTTTTCCTTCCATTATAAATGCCTTAGCATTTTATTTTGTACTCATAGTCATATTTCCCACTGTATTTTTAGCTTTACTCTCATACTTCAGTAATGACTACAGCTGTTTTACTCAATAAGTTTTAAAGTCAGTGATATTTCTCTGGTAGCTTCCATTTTCTGCTACATTTGTCATGTATTTGTGCACACAGTTGTCTGCACAGGTATTTATACATACATTTATACCTATATACATATATATACATTTATATACATATAGATAACATATATATACATGTATACATTCACATATATTTCTAACTTGGTAGATATTGCCAAGATTTTTTTGCCCTCCAAAGCAACTATAACATTTTTACTTCTATCAGCTATTTCTGCCAGCATAGTCTTCGCAGTTTTAAAAACTTTGCCAATTTGATAGGTGAAAAGCAATTCATTTTGTTTTGAGTTTGTATTTCCTTTATTATGAGTGAAGTCAAGGATATTTTCACATGTTTAAATTCTGTCTATATTTCTCTGTAAATGGTTTACATCTTTAGCCCTTTTTTCTATTGAATTTTTAATGTGAATGTATTGATGTGATTAGTCTTTTATCTGTTGTATGTTTTTCCAGTATTTTTTCATAGTTGGTTATTCCTCTTTGAAGTACTTTTTGCCACCTTAAGTTTTTTTAATGCTTATGTAGTTAAAATAATCTTTTCTTACAAGAGATCATATTATTTTTTCCTTTATGTAGTATATAGTTGAATTATGTCTATGTATTTCTTAGTACTATTACTCATCCTCACAATTTCATCATAAATTTAAATGATTGTTCCACTTTTTTCAGGTTTTGAAGTCATTGTTACTCTAGTTTCATAAATAGAATTTGGAACCATTTCTTCTTCTTTTTTTAAAAAAAATAAATTTATTTTTTATTGGTGTTCAATTTACCAACATACAGAATAACACCCAGTGCTCATCCTGTCAAGTGCCCCCCTCAGTGCCTGTCACCCATTCCCCCCCACCCCCCACCCTCCTCCCCTTCCACCACCCCTAGTTCGTTTCCCAGAGTTAGGAGTCTTTATGTTCTGTCTCCCTTTCTGATATTTCCCACACATTTCTTCTCCCTTCCCTTATATTCCCTTTCACTATTGTTTATATTCCCCAAATGAATGAGAACATACACTTTGTCCTTCTCCGATTGACTTACTTCACTCAGCATAATACACTCCAATTCCATCCACGATGAAGCAAATGGTGGGTATTTGTCGTTTCTAATGGCTGAGGAATATTCCATTGTATACATAAACCACATCTTCTTTATCCATTCATCCTTCGATGGACACCAAGGCTCCTTCCACAGTTTGGCTATTGTGGACATTGCTGCTATAAACATTGGGGTGCAGGTGTCCTGGCGAACCATTTCTTCTTCTGAAATACTTACAATATAGCATTGGCATATAACTCCCTTAAAATTCTGGTTTATCTTACCTGTTCACCTATTTGGACTTTGTGGATTATCGAAGGAAAGTGCTTTGATATCTTTTATCATTACAACTATTCTGTGCAGATATTTTGTCTCTTTTGGCATTTGTTTTTGGTAATAGGTTATAATGTTCTAAAAAACTACCCTCTTAATTCTGTTTTTCAAATTAATTTTCACAGAGTTGTACAATGTAATTTCCATAAATATTTGTTTGCTCTTGTATCTGTAAAGGTTTACCATACACTGATGTTCCAGGGTAGTCTTTTATGTTTAAAAACTTGTTTCATCTGTATTTTCTAATCTGTAGGTCATTACTTTTGTCTCTTACTTTTGTCATTAATTCTGCAGATTTCTCAGCCAACATCATCAGATATTGGCTTCCTTCATTTTCTTTACACTCTCCTTCTGAGACTCCTAAAGGTAGAGGCTAAATCTTTTTTCCACTATATTGTGTTTTCATTTCCTTTACTATTTTCTATCTTTCTATGTTGACTTCTCAAGTATATCATCAAGTTTACTCATTCTCTCTTCAGCTGTGTTTATTGATCTTTTATCTCATATGCTTAAAAAAATTCAATACTATTTGGTATTTCTAGAAAAAAATTTTTTTTTCTTTTTGGTTTTTTGGCCTTTTACCCCCTATGTCTTTCTGACTCTATTGATTTCTGTGGCTGCTTCAAGTCTGTGTTTTTATTCTTTGCTTCTTTAAAAATACTCTATGTAGCACTTCTTTTCTTTTTTAATATTTTATTTATTTATTCATGAGAGACACACAGAGAGAGAGGCAGAGACATAGGCAGAGGGAGAAGTAGGCTCCATGCAGGGAGCCCAATGTAGGACTCGATCCCTGGACTCCAGGATCATGCCTTGAACCAAAGGCAGATGCTCAACTGCTGAGCCACCCAGGTGTCCCACTCTTCTGTTTTTTGTATCTGACAATTCTAATATTTTAAGTCCTTAGGTTTAAATATCTTGTTTTTGATTATTTATTGTACTTGATTCTTCACATGCTTGATGACTGCTGATTGTGAGTTTAGCATTTTTTTTTTGAGTTTAGCATTTTTAAACCTTATTGCAATAATCTTATTGTCTTAAATCGGGGTTGCATTCTTAAGATAATTTGCGTGTGCTTCTGGTAGGTGCCAACAAGCGTTACCAAGTGAAGACCAGTTGAGCATTTTTAGAATGTCTTGGGTTTTTGTAGGAACCTCAGTTGAGCTTCTTTCTCTTATTCCTGTCCCAGGGCTTATGCTTCAGTTAATAGAGCTTTCATTTGCATAGGTAGTCAAGTCAGATCCATCTTCCAGCTTGCTTTCTAAATCCCACCCACAGGCATGATTTCAGCTAACACTTTATTTTTGTTTTATTCATTTTTTATTGTGTGGTGTTCAGGTATGGTTGGTGGAGAGTACTATGTTCTTGGAAATACATGCCTTCTATAAGTCCAGTGATGCATCAAAAATTTGTATAACCCATTATCTTATTTTTCAGTTACCTAATTACCTAATTACTCTACCATAATTTCAATACTAAAATTACTATCTAGTCTCTTTTCAACCCCACTTGCATGATATTCTTCATTTTGCCTGGTTTTATTTTTCTCTTCCATTTCTTTCCTTGGTTCTGCCATTTTTTTTCACCATCCCATACAAATTACATTTATATTTTGAGCTCTTGATTTAAAGATTTATTTTCATTAAGCTTTTTCATTCATGGAAATAGTCAACATTTTCATTTACTTTATGTGATAATTCAATTTTATTTACTTTGTGCCATAATTGTTCTAGCTCTAATACTTTTTATAGATCTGGTTCCAGCACCTTCTCCTTTTTAGGAGTAGGCTAGTTCTTCCTTGACATGCTTTTTAAGAAAAGTTAATGTTGGGGAAATAAAATGAGTACTCTGATCTAGAACAGGGGTCATTAGTAAACTATGGCTTATAGGCCTGCCACTTATTTTTGAAAATAAAGTTTTATTAAAACATAGCCACACCCAGTAATTTATGTCTTGTGTTTGATTGCTTTCACATTTGCCTCAAAGATTGTGTGACCCACTAATTACTATCTGACACTTTAAGAAAAAGTTTACCAATTCTTGATGGACATGAATGCATCTGTGCTTTATTTTGAAGCCCTTTATTCTACAAGGTTGTATGTGTAGAAGTATGTTTAGGCTTTTTTTTTTTCCATCTAAAAGATTTCTCATAACTCTTAATATTACAGTCTCACCCCAACAGACTTCTTCCTAAAAAAGTAAATGTTTCAATGCTTCCGTGTTAAGTCCTGCTGGGATATGTGGGGATAACAAGTCTTCTGTAACCAGTCTGCATTCCCAAATTTCGTTGTTGTAACCATAGGATAATTAACTCTGCCCTTCAGGGTGTAATATCCATTTGACTCTCAGCTTCTTGCTCTTCTTGGACTACCCAAGATCAGCATGAATACCTGTCCTTTAGAATCCTTCTTCCCCTGTTCTAGCCTTCACTGTATTTGTCAACACTAACTCATTTATTATAATTGGGGTTACAGCCACCCCTAGGATCATTCAAGAATTAGTGAAAATTCATTCCCATTGTTTGTAGAGACAAAAAGAGATCAGAGCCTTTTCCATTCCACCATTTTAAAACATGGAGTCTTGTGTCACATCTGACAATTTAATCTTGCCCTGGAAATTCTTTTTCACTTCTGTTTTGATGGTACTTTGGCAAGCTAATCTTAGCTTCTTCAACATCATTTGCTTAATGGATCTTCTCTTTTTACTCTAAGTGACCCAGGAAGTTAGTACACTGCCACCATTTCTATGTTTGTAATCTGCAACCAAGTCTCTGTACCTGCTTTACAGTTGCATAGGAATTTTCCCTTTCTTTATTATCTGTCTGGCAGAGAGGGAGAAAAATCTCCATTTCCAGTTTTGGAGCTAAGCAGCAACAGGGAACTGAATGTTATCCTTTAGTATGTAGGCTTGCACTTACTCTATGCTTGAGCCAGGTGTCCCTTATTTTGTATACTCTACCTCATGTCTCGACATGACTCAACAGCATTTCTGCTTCTATTTCTTAAGAGAGTGATCTTCCATCTCCTCTAAAGTAGTCTTTGTTAGTTTATGTATTTTTTCTTTATCTCAGATTGGTGTGATTTTGGGTGGGATGAAATAAATTCATGTATTTATTATACCATATTTACGCTAAATTTCTCCCTTTTTGTTTTCTCTCCTGATCACAGTACTTACTCCCTATCCAGATATGCTAAGTAGGCTCTTCCAATTTTGTGTTCCAGTTTTGATCCAATTTTTACCTGCCCATTGTTTGTTCTCATTTTATTACTGCAGTATTCAGAACAATTTTATTTACTTTTTAAAATACACAATACACGCTGATGGTATAAAACCTCTAAAGTAAAAAAGGATACATACTGAAAAGTAGCTCTTCTTTCACACATTTCCTATTGAAGGTGGCAACCCCTAGCATTGTTTTCCTTTGAGCTATTACCTGTGTTTTCAAACATTTTTATTAAAATTACTTTAATAGATTAGCTTGTGTCATTTTTGCTGTCAAACATTCTTTTCCAGCAATGTGATATGCCTTCTTTTTTAGTTGCCTAGGGCTACTGTAACAAAATACCACAAACTGGGTGGCTTAGAATAACAGGAATTTATTCTCACAGTTCTGGAGACTATAAATACTAAAGCAAGGTGTTGGCAGGCCATACTCCCTCTGAAACCTGTAGAAGGACCCTTCTATCCCTCTTTCAGTTTCTAATAGCCCTAGACATTCCTTGGCTTGTAATCCGATCTTGTCTTTATTTTCATATGGTGGTCTCCTGTGTGTTTCTGTCTGTTCATGTTGCATACTTTTTATAAGAAGACCAGTTAGATTAGGAGTTACCCTACTCCGTATGACCTCATTTTAACTAATTGCATCTGCAGTGACCCATTTTCCAAGTAACTTCACATTCTGAATACTGGTAATTAGGATTTCAACATGTCTTTTTTGCAGTACAGGCAACTCAACCCATAGCACCTTCCCATTTGGTCAAATCTGTGTGCATTTTAGTTTTCTGAAAATCTTGGGACATATTAAATTCCCATATTTTTCATATTTTTGTTGTGACAGTATAGTCTTCTGTTCTTTTCTAAATAGTTGTTTGCATATATAAATGTTATTAAAACTATTAACTTCCAACGTATAGTGAATTTAATGTTTTTATAATTTTCACTTTTGATTTTCCAGGTAAATTGTTTTATTGTTGACAAAAATGTTAACCTTATCTTTCCTTTCCAAGTGTTTATACCTCTGATTTCTTTCTCTTACTTAATGCACTATCCAGAACTATAATAATAATAGTGATAGTACTTACTATGTCAGTGCTTTGGGATTTTTCTTTTCTTTTTCTTTGGCCATGGAAGGGGGAGGAATTTTTCTTATTAAATATTAAATTAATGCTTAAGTTGTACTGTACTTTTTTTCTCAAGTTAAATATTGTATTCCCTTTTTATGAAGGTTTATTTATGGAAAATGTTTGGTTTTATAATTTTTAAAAATAGCTTTGAAAATAATTACTTGATTTTTTATTTTGACCTTTTAATGTATTTGCTTATAGAAGTAGATTTTTCTAATAGTAAAATATACTTGGAAAAAATCTACTTAAGTATGATATGTCTTGTATTTAAAGTGCTCTAGATCACTTTTCTTTCCTTCTGGATTATTTTGATATTTTAGGTAGAATTTTTACATTGATATTCATAAGTAAAATTGGTATATAGTTTGCTTTTTTGGTTGTCATCTTTCTTGAGATTTTGGTTTTAATATTATCTTCGTTTCACACAATAAATTAAAAATTCTTTTTTTCTTTTTTTTTAATTCTTTTTTTTTCTTATATAACATTTTGCAGATCCTGAAAGCAAATGTCCCCTAAATGTTCAAATTCCCATGTGAATCTCTCTTAACCTTTTTGATTTGAGAATTGCTTTTTCATATTTTTCTGTTATTTTGTAGAAGTTGGTTCATAAGGGTTTTCTACCTCTTACAGGTTCAATTTTGGTAATTTTCAATTTCCAGAAAATTGTTTATGTCAAGCAGTTTATAAAAGCTTATTTTAAGAGTCCTACAAAATAGCTTTATGATTTTTTTAACTTCCTATTTTTGTTTCTCCATCATTTCTTCTTACTTTATTTGTACATTCTGTATTCTCCCTTTTATTTACCCCACAGTTTATCTTTTTCTTTCAGATCCCATTTTTAAACACAAAGCTACTTGTATTCCTATCTTCCTCTACTAATATTTTTTCCTGGACTCTCCTTAAGCTTAGAAAATAGGAGATAAAAAAAGAAAGAAAGAAAAGAAAATAGGAAATCTATGCACATGAAATTTACTTTATAATGGGAAACTAGGCTGTAAGCCAAGAATCAATCCCATGATGGCATACTTTCTGAAATTTTCTTCATTTTACAATTTGGAAAATTGTTCAAGTGATATTTATTTGCAATCTGTTTTAGGAGATATGTGGGGAATTGATGAGCATCAGAAAATCCAGGACAGACTTTTGACACATTTTGAAGATAAATTCACAAAAACACTGACTGAAGAAAAAGTCAATGAATGTCGTAAGAAATTTGCAAATGCATTTCCTCTTAACCCGGACTTTTTTCCTTCCAGTCACAATTTCTATGAATATGACTTATTTGGAAAGTGTTTAGAATATAATAATTTTAACTGTCATAATAATGATAGAATTCTTTTAAGAAAGGAACATTCTGAATATAATGAAGCTATGAAATCATTTTGCATTAGCCCATCCCATCTTGTAGTAACCCCCTTCAAGTGTAATCACTGTGGGAAAGGATTCAGTCAAACCTTGGACCTCATCAGACACCTGAGAATTCATACTGGAGAGAAACCTTACGAATGTAAAAAATGTAGAAAAGCTTTCAGCCACAAGGAAAAACTCATTAAACATCATAAAATTCATAGTAGGGAGCAGTCTTATGAATGTAATGAATGTGGGAAAGCTTTCATTAAAATGTCAAATCTCATTAGACATCAAAGAATTCATACTGGGGAGAAACCCTATGCATGTAAGGAATGTGGGAAATCCTTCAGCCAGAAATCAAATCTCATTGATCATGAAAAAATTCATACTGGAGAGAAACCTTATGAATGTAATGAGTGTGGGAAAGCATTCAGCCAGAAGCAAAGCCTCACTGCACATCAGAAAGTTCATACCGGGGAGAAACCTTATGCATGTAATGAATGTGGTAAAGCCTTCCCTCGAATTGCATCCCTTGCTCTTCATATGAGAAGTCATACAGGAGAAAAACCTTATAAATGTGATAAATGTGGAAAAGCCTTCTCTCAGTTTTCCATGCTTATTATACATGTAAGAATTCATACGGGTGAGAAGCCCTATGAATGTAATGAATGCGGAAAATCCTTCTCTCAAAGTTCAGCTCTTACTGTACATATGAGAAGTCATACTGGTGAAAAACCTTATGAATGTAAGGAATGTAGAAAAGCCTTCAGCCACAAGAAAAACTTCATTACACACCAGAAGATTCATACTAGAGAGAAACCTTATGAATGTAATGAATGTGGGAAAGCTTTCATTCAGATGTCAAATCTTGTTAGACACCAGAGAATTCACACTGGAGAAAAACCCTACATATGTAAGGAATGTGGCAAAGCCTTTAGCCAGAAATCAAATCTCATTGCCCATGAAAAAATTCATTCTGGAGAAAAGCCCTATGAATGTAATGAATGTGGTAAAGCCTTCAGCCAAAAGCAAAACTTTATTACACATCAGAAAGTTCACACTGGAGAGAAACCTTATGATTGTAATGAATGTGGTAAAGCCTTTTCTCAAATTGCATCCCTTACTCTTCATCTGAGAAGTCACACAGGAGAAAAGCCTTATGAATGTGATAAATGTGGGAAAGCCTTCTCTCAGTGCTCATTGCTCAATTTACATATGAGAAGTCATACTGGTGAGAAGCCCTATGTATGTAATGAATGTGGAAAAGCTTTCTCTCAAAGAACTTCTCTTATTGTGCACATGAGAGGTCATACAGGTGAGAAACCCTATGAATGTAATAAATGTGGAAAAGCCTTCTCCCAAAGCTCATCCCTTACTATACATATACGAGGTCATACAGGTGAGAAACCCTTTGATTGTAGTAAATGTGGGAAAGCCTTCTCTCAAATCTCATCTCTTACACTTCATATGAGAAAACATACAGGTGAGAAGCCTTATCATTGTAATGAGTGTGGTAAGGCTTTCAGCCAAAAGTCACACCTTGTTAGACACCAGAGGATTCATACTCAATAGAAATAGAAACACTATGTATATCGTGAAGATGGAGACACCTTCAGAAAGAATTAGCACCTCCTTTTACATTTCTAGAACAGAAAACTATGATGTGGAAAGCCTTTTAAAGAAGTCACACAATTGTGTAACAATTCTTACAAGTATGATAAATTGCAAAACGAATAAATTGTAAAACCTTCATAGACCTCTATTATTTATTTAGCATTCTTATTAAATATGAAATGATTCCTGCTACCAGCATATCAACAATATATTTGAGCTCCTAGCCTGGCCAATGTATTAAGCAAGAAAAAGAAGATTGGGGGAAAAGAGAGAAACTATAAAAATGTTCTCTTATACAAGAATTAGTTAATTTGAAAATGTGTTGATATAAAATGTCTAAGGATAAACACATTAATTGTAAGACTCACATTTATAAAGTTACAAAACATTTTGAAGGGCACAAAAGAACACCTGAAATTTTGAGGAAAATGAGTCTGAAAACACATTTTTAAACATATAAATTCATAAACCTCTAAGGAACTTCCATTCAAAGTTTTCACTAAATTCTAAGAATGTCACAAACTGATATAAAATTTTATATGGGAATATAAAGGACCACAAATAGCTGAAACAAGTAGAAGACAAAAGAGTAGAAACAGTATAGCAGATAGTATCACATAATTTATTTAAAGCTGTGTCTAAAAAAAAATAATAAAATAAAGCTGTGTCTAAACAATGTATTCTTGATAAATCAGGGGAAACAAGGATGAAGAAAGGAGATATGGGAATTTTGTGAATTATGTTGCTCTTGAAGTCATTGGACAAAGAATGGCCCATTCAGTAAATGGAAGAGTCATATGAACAAAAAATGATGTCTCTATTTTATTCCATATACAACAATAAAATCTAGAAAGACTGAAGATCAGAATACAAAAAGCAAATGTCTGAAACTATGATGAAAATAAACTAGATTTATTACTTTAGAGTAACAGGATAACTCTAAGAACACAAATATGTTATAGTCATTTCTATTTTGGTGTATTGCCTTCGGAGGCATGCACATATGGGCACACAGATACACATCTCTATGTTCATCACTGCATTGTGGTTTGTATGACACTAAATTGGACATAACAAATTTTCATTAGTAGGATAGATTATTACCATGTTATTGCTATGATAGAATACAGTATTTAGAAAGAAGATACAAATTTGACGTATAGTTACACAGATCACAATATATAATACTGAGAGGAAAAAAGCAAAATGTACAATGAAAAAATGTAACATTTGTATAAGTTTAATAAAAATAATGCAAAGAACACTACTGTGTATTGCTTATAGATCCATATATGACATTGGTTGCCTTTCAGGAAGTGGGAGAGGGTTAGATGGAATTGTTATATTTATCTGTAACATTTTTTTAATAAAAGAATGAAAGCAAAAATAATGGTGCCAACAAATCTGGTTAAGATTATGTTGCTATCTTTTGTATTCTTTCTTGCCTTATTTTCCTGTTTCTCTAACATAATAATCAAATGGGTGAAGGACATGACCTATAGAAACAACTTAAAAGTTGTGTATTATCAAATACATTTATAGAAAATTATCTTTGCTAATACACAAACTGAATTAAGATGAATTATTATCTGAAGTTAATTCAGATAATAAAAATCATCAGTATATACATAGCATTTACTTGATACCAATTAAAAAATTTATCTTTATTTCAAACACAAATTTTCCTCTAACTGGAAGCAGTGAAGAAACTAAAGAAATAGTCAGTTCTTGAGATAATTGGCTATTTGTTAAAAAAAAAAAAAAATCCACCAACATTTGGCTTGGTTTCAGAGGAGAGACCATTCATACCTACTATAAAACGTGATTAATGTCAAGCCAAGGATAGATGCCTGCATCAGAGCAGAAGGAATTTTAGCATATCTCAACAAAGCTTTATATGGTTTCCAAATCCTTAAGTGAGGATGCAGATGCTGACGATTTTAGACGTGTGAGGTATGTGCCCAGTGGATGTGAAATCTCACTTCCTTGTACCACATCTAAAATGTTTTATATTTAAACCCTTCAAATACTTACAGAACTCAAATTTCCTTTTCTTTTGAAAAGCTCATTCATATATTTTGTCTTTTTGTTTTCTACTGGGACTTTCAAAAGATGTTTTTATTGGCGTACCTCTGAGGTGCAGTTGGTTGAGCATCTGACTCTTGGTTTCACTTCAGCTCAGATCGTGATCCCTTGGTCCTGGGATCGAGCTCTGCAGTGTGCTCTGTAGTCAGTGGGGAGTCTGCTTGAGATTCTCCCTTTGCCCCTCCACCCCTACCCCACTCTCAAATAGTTTTTAAAAGTTTTTATTTAGAAATAATTGCAGATTTATAGGAGGTTGCAAGAATAATACCCTGTAGTGCTGAGTAGTTTGTGTACCCTACATCCTGTTTCCCCTAAAATTAACATCTTACATAATTATAGTACAATATCAAAACTGACACTGGCAGAATCTGTACATGTTATCAGATTTCACTGGTTGTACATGGGCTTGTGTGTTGTCCATGTAGTTATTACATACAGTTTTATCTTGTGTAGATTTCTCTACCACCACAATCAAATACAGAACTTCCACCATCACAAGGATCCCTTGCTCTGTCCCTTTGTTGTCACACCTGTAACCCCTTCCTCTCCCTGCTTCCCACTCCTAATCTTTGGCAACAGTAATCTCTCCTATAATCTTGTCATATCAAGAGTATTTTATAGGAGCTCCTGAGTGGCTCAGTCAGTTAAGAATCTGACTCTTGATTTTCTCAGGTCATGAGCCCAGGGGTTGTAAAATTGAGCCTTGTGTTGGGCTCCACACTGGGCATGGAGCCTGCTTGGGCATCTCTCCTTCTCTCTCTGCCCCTCCTGCCCTGCACACACATGCTCCCCCTTTTAAAAATATAAGTGGAATCGGGCACCTGGATGGCTCAATCAGTTAAGCATCTGACTCTTGATCTCAGCTCAGGTCACGATCTCAGAGTCTTGAGATTAGGCCCCACATCAGACTCTATGCTGAGTGCAGAGTCTGCTTAAGATTCTTTCCCCCCTGTCCCTCCCCTTCTGCTTCTCCCCCCACTCACGTTCTGCCTCAAATCTTAAAAAATAAATGGAATCATACACTATATAACCTTTTGAGATTGGTGTCTTTCATTCAACATGATTCCCTTGAGATAAATCCCAGCTGTTCCAGAGACAATAATTTTTGTTTTTTAAATTTCTCAGTTTTCCCTTTATGGATATACCATAGTTTCTCTAACCATTGAGCCTTTGAAAGACATTTGAGTTTAAAAATTTTGGTTAATACACAAATCTGCTGTGAACATTCATCTGCCATTTTATTGGTGGTTTTGTTCCCGTCACTTTTCATGCCTTACTGTGGGTTACTTTAGTATTTTTTAGAATTCTACTTTAGAGTTCTTGATTATAGATTTTTTAGTAGTTGCTCTAGGTATTACATCATACATACATAATTTCCATACTCCATGTGTGTAAACATTTAACCAGTTCAAAATCTTAACTGAGATTCTTTAATTGCCTGCTTTATTATATAATTGTATCAAATATTTCCTCTGAACAAGTTAACAACTATATGAGACAGTATTACCATTTTTGCTTTAACTGTCTAGCATAATTTAGGAAGCTCCACAAGAGAAAGATAGTCTATTAAGTGTACTCATGTCTTTACTTTTTCTGTTCTTTCCTTATTCCACATGTTCCATGTTTCCTTCATTTCTTTTCTGCTGAAATAACTTCTTGTAGCCACTCTTTAGTGGAGGTCTCCTGGCAACAAATTATCGTAGTCTTCCATCATATGAATATGTTTTCATTTCACCTTCATTACCAAAGAATATTTTTTTGCTGGTGAAAAATTCTGGTTGACCATTGTTTCAGCACTGGATAAAAGTGCCATTTCATTTTGGCCTCTACGTTTTCTGCAAAGAACTCTCATTTGAAGCATTCTTCTATAGGTAATGAGTTGTTCCTCTCTAGCTGCTTTCAAGAATTGTTTATATCTTTAGTTTTCTTGTCTGATTATCAAGTATTTTGGCATGAATTCCTTTGGGTTTCCACTGTTTAGGGTTTTGCTCTGCTTCATGAGTCTGTAGGCTTCTATTTATTGCCACACTTGGGGAATTTTCTGTCATTATTTCTTTGAATGCTTTTTCAGCCTCACACTTTTCATTCTTCCCTTGTAAGATTTAGCATACTTTCCCTCTCTGTTGTTCATATTGAACAGTTTATCTTGTTCTGTCTTGAATTTCATTGACCCTGTCCTCTCTATTCTCCATTCAGCTCTTGAGTACATCCACTGAGTCTTTTGTTTTAGTTACAGTATTTTTCATTTCAGAATATCTCATGTTCTTTATATTTTTCTTAGTTTTTTTCTTCATTTGGTTCAAGTATGTACATAATTTTTTCACTAGAGCACTTTTATTTTTATTTTTTATGATTGATGCTTTAAATTCCTTGCCAAATAACTCCAATCACTTGGGTGTTGATGTCTCTTGATTATCTACTCATTAAGTTTGAGCTTTTCCTGTTTTTGATATGATGAGTGATTTTCATTCCTATCATGGACATTTTGTGTATCGTGTGCTGAGACTCTAGATCAAATCAAAACCACAATGAGCTAACACTTCACTCTTGTTAAAATTGCTATCATCAAAAAGACAAAAGATAAATGCTAGTAAGGATGTGGAGAAAGGGGAGCACTTGTGCATCGTTGGAGGTACTGTAAATTGGTGCAAGCCACTCTGGAAAGTAGTATGAAGATTCCTAAAACAAACAAAAAACAAAATATCATATAATCCAGCAATTCTATTTCTGGGAATATATCCAAAGGAAACAAAAACACTATGTTTAAGAGGTATCTGCCCTTTCATGTTCATGGCAAGATAATTTACAATAGCTAAGATAAAGGGAGCAAGCTGTCTATCAATGGATGAATGGATAATTTGTGTCATGTGCACACATACACACAATTCAGCCATAAAAAAAGGAAATCCCACCATTTATGACAACATGGATGTACCTTGAGGGCATTATGCTAAGTGAAGTCAAATGAGAAGACAAGTACCATATGATCTTACTTATATGTGGAATCTAAAAAATAAAAACAACTGACTCAGAAAAAGATCAGTTTTATGG